CCCCCAGTGCCCTCTCATTCTCGCCCTGATGCGGAGCCTGCCCAGGCCAGAAGCCACACTCTCAGGGATTTAAATCTTTCCTGGTCATTTATTTGTCAGCTTCACTAATTAAGCAGTGTTAATTTCATTTACTGAAAATGGAAATTCATCCACCTAATTTCTCTCCGTTCATCCTCCACACACAAAATCCATCACTCGTCGGCTGCAGGCTACGCAAAATTGACAGGACTAATTATGTTGCCGGGTCTCTTTGTAAATACAGCCCATAACAGCCACTGTGCTCCCCGGGTTGTAGTGCAAGGGCATTCCTGGTGTTGGCTTAATTACTGGTTAGTTATTTAGGTTCTCAAATGTTTGCCTCATTTTCCCTAAATCAAATTAAAGGTCCCGCTTGACATGTTCTGTCTGCACAGCCTTGCTCTTCCTCCTCGCCTGCTTTCCAGGGGCCTGACAGAGCCGCGCAGCCCAGCCCAACACCAGAGTGATTCCTCTGGGGCTCCTGTCACAGATTATCTTACACAGAGTTGCTGAAAACCACACCGATTTATTATCTTACAGTTCTGGGGAGCAGAAATCAAGGGGTGGCAGGGTTTCATTCCTCCTGAGGCTCCAGGGGGCATCCGTGTCCTAATCTCTTCCAGCTTATGGCTTGTCACATCCCTCTGGCCTCTGCTTCCCTGACTCCCCTTCCTCCCTCTTATATGGACCCTCTTATACGGACATAGTCCACCACCTGCCTCTCAGTTTCTCCGACCATGGTGGTTGCTCGTGGAAGAAGGAAGGCCAGAGTGCTCCCTAGAGGCAAGGATGGCGAGACTTTGTCTTCCATAAGTCAGACCTGTTGTCAGTCAGGAGAGACCAGTCCCTGCTTGAGAAAGTAGAGGGGCAGCGGCAATGAGGAAGCCCTTAAGGAGATGGACCGACACAGTGGCTACCACACTGGGCTCAGGCACAGGAACAGTTGTGAGGGTGGAGCAGGACCGGGCAGTGTTGCCTTCTGCTGCAGTAGGCATGGGTGGGAATAAACTCAATGGGACCAAACAGCAACATGAGCACCGTGGTTGTGAGTTGGGCTGCTAACCACAAGATCAGCAGTTCAAAACCACCAGCTGCTCCTGGAGAGAAAGATGAGGCTTTCTAGCCTGTAGATGATAGATAGATAGATAGATAGATAGATAGATAGATAGATAGATAGATAGATAGATAGATAGATAGATAGATATAGATTTTAGCCCGTAAAGATTTACAGTTTCAGAAGCCCATAGGGCAGTTCTACTCTGTCTAGTTGAGTTGCTATGAGTCAGCATCGACTCCATGGCAGGGAGTTTATGGTTGGATTGGGCTCACACAGATAATCCGGGACTTGAAGGCTTTTCACATAATCACATCTGCAGAGTCTCCTTTGCCCGGCTTTCATCTGATGTCTCCACTGCCCTCTGCCTGCCTTGTTCTCCCTGAAGCTCCAGCAGAAATCCAGGATTCTTCCAATGGCCAGAACTCCCCAAAGTGGCCCCACACAACCAAAACTGACCTGCTGGGCCAGAGGCGCCAATCCCTATACCTTATTGTGGTTTGAGTGCAGGAAGCTGAGGTCTGTCAGGATTTCAGTTGACAGGGGCATTAAACCACTCCTTATGCCTGAGACCTCAGTGGCCTGAGAAGTAGTACTAAGTCAGGCTCTACCCGGGGTCACTGAAGGAGAGTCAGGAAAAGCCTCAAAGAGGATCCTCTGATCAGGTTGGCCTGCTGGGCCACACCAGACCATGCCCACTCCACTCTCTGCTCACAGTCAGTCACCTGGGATCTTGGGAGGTGGCTCTCCACCACCTGTGACAACCGGCACTCACAGGAGAGGGGGTCCTGGTGGCCGGGTGCCCTGGAAGGTCACCTGGAGGAGTGGCTCTCAAAGAGGAGTAGGCTCTCCCAGACAGAGTGTGGGAGGGGAACCCACTACAGCTTAAGGAAGGAGCCCAGGCACAAGCCCAGTGGGCACAGGGAGCTGAGGCCAGGCCAGCAGATTGAATTGGGGGTGGGGGTTCAGGGGTGGGTCCTGGTAGTAGCTGAGTGCTTGCCCTGACTCACCAACCTAGATTGTCTTTGAACCCAGCCTCCTCACTTACTTTCTCTCGAAAAGGAAGCCTTAAGACAGAGGGAAGAGTTCAGCAAAGGTTGTCAAGTTGTGGATGCCCCCACGGATTCTAAGTCCCAGGACTGGCACTCTGCTAGGGGCCCCGGAGTCTGGCCCTGCTGCTGTTAGGGGAGAGAGGAAGCAGCTTTGGAGATGGGAGTGTAAGGTGGGGAGGGGGTTCACCTTGGCCAAAAGTCGGCTGCACCACAGGGCCCCAAGATGGGACCCTGCTCCGGCACCCTCAATTTCTTCAACTCCAACTCTTCTGACCTTAGGGGGAAGGGCTAGGAGGCCTGGCTGGCTGGTGGCAGGAGAGGTAAACGTGACGGCTGGGACTGTGTTCTTCTCAGTGACAGATGGGCACCAAACGTGCAGAGGATGAAAGGGGGCACTCCCGCGACATGGGGCAGAGCAGGGAAGAAGCTTTCTGCCGAGAGTGGTTCCTTGTTGATCCCCCAGAGCTTGCCAAGAGCTAGGGCTCGGTCTGGGACTGAGAGCTGAGCTGGACAGTGGAGGACAATGCCCACAGGTGGTTAAGTAAGGGCTCAATATGGTCAAGTCCACTGTAGCATCAGCTGACCTCCATGCTGAACTGTGGGGGACTGGTTGGGGCGGGAAGGGAGCATACAAGCATCAGCTGGACATCGGCACCTGTCACAACCTGCCGGCTGGTGTCTGAGCTCTCCCTGGAGGATCCAACCCCATCCCGGGCCCACTGCACTCACAATTCCATACTGAGTACCCCTGTGAGCCCACGTCTTCATGTCCTGTGCCCCAGGAGTGGAGAATGACTGCCCACCTCTCAGATAAACCTCTCATCTCTGCTGGCTCTTGGATCTAGATAGGCCCTGTCTCATGGTTCTGTTCCCCAGGCAGGAAAGCCCAGCTTCCTGACAAGAGATGGAGCAGGACAGGCAGTGGCCATCTGGTGTGGGGGGTAGGAGGTGGGGAGTGAGGTGGGGGGAGGAGCGGCTGGCTTCCCCCACAGGGTCGTGGATTCTGCCACCGAATCGTGGCATCTCCTCCGAGGGCAGATGACTTCATGAAGCAGAGCCGGGGCATGCTGCTGGTCTACAGCCTGAAGAACCCCAGCTTCCCCGAGTACATCTTCAGCAGCGAGAGCGGCATCATGTGTCTCGACATGCATGTGGACCACCCCTACCTGGTGGTGGTAGGCTACTATGACGGCAACGTGGCCATTTACAACCTCAAGAAGCCCCACTCCCAGCCCTCCTTCCGCAGCTCTTCCAAGTCTGGCAAGCACACGGACCCTGTGTGGCAGGTCAGCCTCCAACTGGGATGGGACATGGGGATGGAGGCCAAGGTCTGTG